AAAAAAAAGTAGGTCCTCTGGACGGGTTCTTCTTTAGTGAAACGTTTCGTCTCTCTTCCAAGAGACTTCTTCAGTCTGATGAGTTTCAGGTAAACTGGAAAACTTTAAAATCCAATGGAAACATGAAAAACTTTAAAATCCAAGCCTTTATTTTGAAGGGAAGATACTAGTTTCCTGTTCCCGGTTCTTTCGTTTCCCGTCAGTCCGTCATGTACCCAGAATGCATCGCTTCAGTTTTCCAGTAAACGGTTTTAAAATTACTTTACTGATGCTTCTTTAATGAAAAATCTACAACAAACAAAAGAAAAAGACAAAGAAGCAGCCGAACTAGCAATCCTCATCAACTTTTTAAAGAATCAGCCAGACTAGCAATCCTCAACAACGTTTTAATTTTTACACCAGGAGCCAAAGTTCTGTTTAAGAAAATCACATCCCCAGCAATTGCCGGTTGTAGAATTGTAAAAGAGTTCATACACTGCTAGTTGGCAGTGTTGTGCATGTTAGGGTTGCCACCTGTCCCGTAATGGCTGGGATGTCCCTTATTTTCAGCCTAATTGAAGTGTCCCGTACGGGACGCTCGTTGTCCCGCATTCTGATCACATCCTGAAATAACAATTCTGTGCCATCAGTGCGCCTCAGCTCCTGCTCTCCCACAGAGAAACGATGCTGCCCGGCTGCAGGTACAGCCCCCTTGCCCCCTCCCTTCCTTTTCTTTTCTCAAGGCTCGCTCTCTGACACACAAAAGCGCAGGGAGAGACACACACATGCGCGTGGCTGCCTGCTTTGTAAACAACGTGCTGCTCCGAGCTACGGAGCAGGTAACGTCTTTCTCATTAACATAAAATAATATTCAGCTTTTGGTCAAACGTTAATCTTCACAAAGAACCAGAAATAAGCCCAAATTACTCCACAGGTCTGTTGTTTAATCCTATGGAAAGTTGGCTTGCTGCTAGTTACCAATCAGCTAATGTTAGCAATCAGTTAAACTTTAGTGATGACATTTAATCTGTTATTGAGTTGTTAAACTGTATTTTATGCCGAAATTAAGTCCAAGTCCACTCTGATATTAATTGTTTCCCTGTTATAATTCATAAAATCAGCAATTATTTCAGTAATTTAGTGTAGTAGCTTCAGAACACCTGAAGTAAATCTTATAAATCTTATAAATCTT